ATCAGGTCTGTTACACAAGCATACTGTAAATATTTGTTGTCCACTGTATATGGCTGTCTACCTGTGTGTCCTGACTAGGAATCGCCATATGTCATGCTGAAGAAGAACCACGAGCATTTTACAGGAAATGATAAGTATGAAGGTTACTGTGTGGAACTGGCAGCTGAGATAGCCAAACACGTGGGATACCACTACATACTCAAGATAGTGGCTGATGGGAAATATGGAGCCAGAGATCCTGAGACCATGATGTGGAATGGGATGGTGGGAGAGCTTGTCTATGGTGTAAGTGCTACATCTTATTTTCTCAGATCTGAATGTCAAAGCTTTAAGGACTGTGCAAGAGAACACAAGTAACACAATAGCTTTTTACCTGGTTGATCTGGTTTTAAAATCTGAATAATTTTAATCACCATTCCTGTACTGAGAAATCTAATCATTAGTGTAGAAAACCAGACTTCATTCAGAATGAGAGGAGGTTACAGTAGTTGAACCGAAAGGGTTCATATTTTCACCGCAGTAATAATAACAAAGAATGAGAAAATTCTTCCTGGAAAAGTGTTTAGATAGAGGTTGAGAGGTTATAAAAAGCCCACTCTGTATTTATAGTACACCTATTTCCAATAAAAACAACAAGAAAAATTACTCAACATTTTTGCCTGTGTCCTGACTTCTTCCTTTCCTGGGTCCATGTGTAATTTAATTACATATTTAACAATATATATTTAGTAGTTATTGCAATAACATTATATATTCTTCTGCAGAAAGCTGACGTAGCTGTGGCCCCACTGACAATCACCCTGGTCAGGGAGGAAGTCATTGATTTCTCCAAGCCCTTCATGAGCCTTGGCATCTCCATCATGATCAAAAAGCCTACCAAGTCCAAGCCTGGTGTGTTCTCCTTCCTGGACCCTCTGGCCTATGAGATCTGGATGTGTATTGTGTTTGCCTATATTGGTGTGAGCGTGGTGCTTTTCCTAGTCAGCCGCTTCAGTCCCTACGAGTGGCACGCAGAGGACTGCGAGGAAGGAGCTGAGCAGAACCCTAACCAGCCCTCCTCGTCATCCGCGCAGCCGGGTCAGGGCCAGCAGACCCAGAACCAACAGAGTCAGGAGCAGACCAACGAGTTTGGCATCTTCAACAGTCTCTGGTTCTCATTGGGAGCTTTCATGCAGCAGGGCTGTGATATTTCCCCCAGGTGAGATGCCAGTTTGTTTTTATTCAGTGTTTTTGCAACTGGTTTTGCTTCAGGATTTCATATTGGACATAAATTGGTGACTGAACAGCGAAGATGTGTACCATGCCAAAATGTGTGAACGAGAATTGTCTGTAAAATTTAACACGTTTATTTATTGGTTTTTACATTTTTGCAAATTTTGTTCATGGCTCTTTGCATATAAGGGGAATATCATACAACCTGTCCATGTTGGCATTAGTCTAATTTCACTTCTACCAAGTGACAGCAAAGCACCATAAAGTTTGATTAGGCACACAACACAAGATAGAGGAAGCAATTTACTTCTATTAGTTTATGAGCTGTTTATTTTGCTGGCTTACTATGCTACACCATAGTATTTTTAGTGTTGCATTATGATGATTCTTTCATCATGTCTCATTTATGTTTCGATTTCAGTTGCAAATGACGCAAAGGTTCACAGTAATCATATAGATTCCCATGCTGAAGATGTTCAAATCTTTTTTTAAATGTTTGGGGTCTAGTAATTTCTCAGCGGCACTGCTGTTGTGTCGCTCTTGGCATATTACTAAACTGTGTTTGTAGTTAAGCAATTTCTCATTTTCACAGCCGGTTTGTGGTACGTGGCAGTATTTCTGAAGATCAGATAGAGCTGCACATCCACTTGGACTGGACACAAGCCTAATGCCACAGTGTCTAATGAGAGGAAGACAGCAGCTTTTTGAAGGGCAGATTAAAGTGCCGTGAGTGCTGCATCGCTTTTACTCTGTGCTGCTGGTGCGCAGGGCCGGAGATGAAATGTCTCTCTCTACACAGTTACTGGACTCTCAAAGGTCACCAGTTAAAATCCTAATTAAAAGGGGGTGAAGCTGGCAACATGAGGTCAATGGCTGTGGGTTTTAAGGGCACAGGGAGGGATAGTGCAGTAGGTCTCAGAGAGAGAAATGTCAGCTGCTGAGTTCAGGCACCAGACAGCTTTCACATCTGTAGGCAACACATTTAAGTCTAGTTGATGCTTAAAGCTAACATTACAGACAGATATCCAGGTTCTGCAATATAATTAAATGTCTATCTGATATGTGAGCCTCTTTTAAGGGGGGGGGGGTATAAATGTGTGGCTGTTGTTGATATATTTAAAAAAATACATATGTATATACTGTACATGTTACAATAAAAAAACATGGTTACTATAGTTAAACCATGGTAACTTTTATAATAATAATACCCTGGTTAATTTTTGTGAGGGTTGTTGGGGTCCCCTTGAAACATTTCTGTTGTGGTCTGTGCTACTTGCAGCACATTTCTATATTTGGTTATGTTGTGAGTATTTGCAATGCGTTTCTGTATTTGGTTGTGTTGTGAGTATTTGCAGCGCATTTCTTTATTTGATTGTGTTGTGAGTGTTATTGTATAACTATATAACTATATTATTATAGTGCAGCCCATGTATTGTCAAACTGATGAAGATGTTCTCTTAATTTGCTGGTGCTTTTTCTATTTGCATATGCTTTCTTAAGTTGCAGCATGTTGAGCTCTCTCGGCCACCATAGATTATTAATGAACACATTTCATTCAGTATTGAAAATTATCAATAGAATAATTTCAGAGTAGTTGAAAATGAGTTTTCAAGAAGATTTGTGTACATATCACTGTTAGCTTAGGAGCAGGCTAATGCTAAATTTGTTTGGAATATGTTGAGTGTGCTGTGCATTTTATGTGAGGAGTCTGACATAAAGCGAGTCTCTTTTGCACTTCCGTTTCAGTTACAATGCTGCCTTAGAAGCCAGCTGCCTATGTAGACAGAAGACGGGAAGGCAGCTCATTGTGATTTGGAACAGAGCTCATATAATGTTTTTTGCAGTTTTTCCTGTGAACGTCATTCCATCAACATAGCGATAATTATACCCTTCCTTTTTTAGAGGGGACAATTACTACTTTAAGTATAATTACAAATTGGTACGTTGGCAGGGAGTCTAAGCTGTGATGAGTAAATCATGAGTTCAGTTTCACAGGTAACATCTTTCACACATTTTAGCATGGGTTTTATGTTCAGCAGCGCCTGCAGCTATATGGCAGTGTGCACTTTGGTTACCATGAGTGCTCACTTTTTGCTGTTAGTATTATTATTATGTCATTCTTGACATTGCAGTTGATACCCGATTTGTCTACAAGAGCGAAAAACAAAAGCAAAGTGTTGATGAATCTTTTTGAATTCTTAAATACCAAATGTTTAACAGTGACAGTCCTAAATAAGTTAGTTTGTGCTGACATAATGGTTGGGTGTCCACATCACTATGCTGTCACTTTGGTTCCCAGTGTGCACTGTAATATGAATACATTAATACTGCTGCAGAACCACAACAGTATTGCAAGCCTCCTTCCTCCATAATTGTTTTGTTACAGTCATTACTATTCAAAAGTTTGCCGTCGTAATTTTTTTAATGTTTTTGAAAAGTGAAATATTATTACAATTTAAGCAATTTAGCTGTTTTCTATTTGAATATATTTTAAAATGTAATTTATTCCTTTTTATTATTATTTTTGTAACTATGTAAATGTATTTACTGTCACTTCTGATCAAATTAATGCATCCTTGCTAAATAAAAGTCTTATTTTATCAATATAACTATATACAGTATATAATACTCTCATTAATTACCACCGCCAGACTAGCTCTTTCTCATCAATTACAATGGATGAAAAATAATAATTAAAAGTAAAAGTCCCAGCCAATGAGAAAAATAATCACCATAATGGTCAATTGACTTACACTCTTATCCCACAATGCAGTGCAATTTTTTTTACAAGTAATTTGCTGTGATGGTATGGAAATTCCATCACAGCAATAAGGAATAAGGAGCTCCTGTATGAATTGATTGTTCTGTCTCAGCAGTGGTGTTGAAATGTCAGTGGTGTGAGGGAGAGCAGCACACCACTTTCCTGTGGATGTCTCCTGTGATGGGGCATGGAGAGGCTTCAGAGGATCTTAATTAGACTGTGTCATTTCTCCCTGTCATTTCTCGCCATGACTCAGACTCTGCAGAGTGGAATCGACAATGTTGTAGTGATTATACTTCTCTCTCCATGTCACTGAAGTTCTATAAACAAGTGAGGACGGGCTGCGGATGGCATGTCCGCATTGCGGGTGAACATGTTTTGCCGTCTTCAACACGTAACCTCAGCCACTGCTGGATGAGCAGCCATGCCTGACTGGATGGATTCATGATTCTGTTTGTGTAATGACATTTAATTAGTACTGAGAGGAGAGAGTGGACGATAGAGCAAGTGCGGCAGCACCATTAACAACTTCCATTATGCTTCTTTAATCATAGGTAGTCAGAGCTCCTTCTCTCTGTGATCTTCTGCGTTTGAATATACACACTTAGCCCTCCCTTTTAATGAGCGCTGATGGGTTGAATGGTGAGTGGTCTGGCCGTTCGATGGTAACAGTCAGACTATGGTTTGCCCATTTATGTGCTATTTATTCTTTGGGAGAAAAAATCCCTGTTCAAATGTCAGACCTGTCACTCAAACCTCCCCATCAGCCCTAATTTATGCAAGTCACTCAAGATAATGTTTATCTCCTCACACAGGTGCCCACAATCTCATATCTCATGTTACATTGTCCTTCTCTTCTCTTCTCTTCTCTTGGTGCTTTAAAACATTTATTTTTATTATACATTTTGAAAACATCCGTGCAGCATAATATGTATTTTTATGTAAACCGTGACAGTTTTTCAGTATTCTTTGATGAATATGTTCAAAACCATATTTATTTAAAATAGAAATCTTTTGTAACAAAGTCACACAGGAACTATGATTGTCAACACTAGTTATGAAATTTAAGTGTGCCTGTTAAGGTATTTTTAATTATTTTAGATTGACAAATGTACATTTTGATCTTTTCTAAATCTTTCCAGTCACTTCATGCTTCATAGACCCTGGCAATAGTCCCCAGAATGGAATGGCATGCTCTCACTCAACATTGTCCCTTGTGTCATGCTTGGATTGCTCTTCTAAGCTCTGCTGTACCTCCGTCACTCCTGTTCATTTAGTCTTTGCATGGCTCTTTTTTGTCCCTCTATGTTCCAGAAGCGCACAGCAGGTCAGTTCAGGTGATCAGAATGTATCTAGTCGTTGAGTGGTAGATGGATCCTGTTACACTGATGATGGCTCTCACAAGACAAGGATCTTTTCCATACCTCCCAGCACCCTGCCAACAATTCACATCAAACGTCATTTTGTGTCATCACACCAACACACACAACTGCACATTAGTGATTACATTTACAGTAATTAAGTTTGTTGAGGATAAAATATTGCTCTACTCGTCATTTTAAGCTGGTCTTTGTGTATTTCTGTGCTCACTTGACACATCTACATTTGTGTGAATGACTAAGAAACCCATAGTCATGGAGGGGTGGTTCTTTTAAATGTTTTTGAAAGGAATTTATTAAATAAAAAATACATTTATTTAATCGATAATACAGTAAAAGTAATAATATTGTGAAATATATAATTATATTTTATAATTACATTTAAAATATTTAATTTAACTTTTAATTTAATTGAAATTATATAATTATAATTTAAAATATATATACTAAAGTCTTCAGTGTTACGTGATCCTTTAGAAATCATTCTAATATGCTGATTTGCTGCTCGAAAACATTTTGTATTATTAGCAATGTTGAAAACAGTTTTGCTGCTTAATATTTGTGGAGACTGCGATACATTTTTGAAGGATTCTTTAATTATAATTTTCAATAGAATCACATTCGCATTTTTTTTAAACCTAAATGTATTTACCGTCACTTTAGATGCTTCAAAAAATCCAAAGAATTCAACAATGAATTGTAAACTAAAGTATATGCATTACATAAATTAAATATAGACATCCAAGCTGAATTTTTTTCAGCATCATTACTCCAGTCTTCAGTGTTACGTGATCCTTTAGAAATCATTCTAATATGCTGATTTGCTGCTCGAAAACATTTTGTATT